GTTACAGTTTATCTGGTGCCAAAATCCAACTGGACCAAGAAGAATTTAATGGCTGGATCTGTTGTTACACTACAGTTATTTCACTATAGTTTGGCAGAACAGAAGAAACTGCTTTTGTTTTAAGTATCAATGGGCAGTAAAAAATAACCTTCACCCATCAATACAAAGGTGCCAAATAAGAGTGTCGCAAACATTCTGAATATATCAGGGTTCGATGCTTTTGATGGAAAAGGAGAAGACCCTCTTGCTGCTGCCTTGCTTGGTACTGCAGTTTCTTGTTCTATGTATAAAATCTAGACAGAGCTAAACTCTTAGTGCTGTGAATTTCCCATTTGTGGCACAACTGCCCATTTGTGTTGTGACTTTCAAGCAGCGCAGGGCAGCTTAGCCATACTTTCTACTTAGGCAGTGGAATTTGGCACAGCTGGCACTAGAATCCAGCGGCATCCAGGACAAATAAAAAATCTGAAGTATTGCTGATCACGATGTACTACTGTAAGCAGGGCCATTGCTGGAGGGAGCAAATTGGGGTGACTGCTCCAGGCCCTGCATTTTGGGGGGCCCCATGGAACTGGGTGGAGCAGCCACAGTGAGTCCACACTGCTGCCGGCTTTACATCCAGCCATTTAGCTGCAGAACCTTTTAGGGATACTATGGGATGCCATGGGTTATAAGTACCAGGTGAGCAAATATGATTGACAAGATAAATCCAACGGGTGTCTACACATGAGCACGTTGGAATGGGCTCAATTAATCATGTCTGTCGGAGCATGGCAACTGTTGTACGCCAGCAGCCTCCGGCATCCCGTGTCTCAGCATCCCCGTGCTTAAAAATGGCAGCAGGGAGTGCTTTACCTAAAGCCCATTGAATGAGCTTTAGTTCAAGCATTCCCACCACCATTTTTAAGTATGCGGATGCTGATACCTAATTGGAGTGGCTTTTGGAGCTGCTCTAATTAAAGTGCAGCTCCCTGACTTCCAGAGCACATGTAGAAGTGCCCACTGATTTCAAATAAGTATCCAGTATTAAAAAAATTCTGACCTGTTTTGGTCTTTCTGAGATCTTTGCAATAAAACAATTATTTTCCTGAGTGAAACAACTGAAAAATAAGGGCTGGCATTTTCCAAGGGGTGGCTCAGGCTTAAGTATAGGGTGCCTTTAGTTTAAAAACCTTGAGAATCACTGTGTTAGGGCTTGATGGGGGTGTAGGTGGGGGAAGAAAGGCAAACAACCAAAACTTGTCAAAGTAGAAATTTGAGAAACGGGGACCGGGATCCAGGCCAGAGCCCTGCAGTTTTGTAGGAAGCAGGATGCAGACGGATAGCCATGGGCAGACGCACAATTGTGGAAAGGGGGGTGCAGAGGGTGAGAGGTATCATCACGTATACAAACAACATGTAATATTTGGCTGCAGTCCTAGGCTGTGGAATGGGGTGGGCCACCCAGGTCACAGCCCGACCAACTTGTAGCACGTTAATTTACACAATCCACAAATGTGCAGTTGTTAGTCTGGCTAAAACTGTATAGCTATTTTAACTCCACAGCTAGCTACATTAACGTGTTAAAAGTTGGTCGGGCCATGGCCTGGGTGGCCCACCCCAGTCCACGGCCTATGGCTCCAGTTAAAAGAAACTAGAAACTTTCCTCGCATGTACGTGCCCAGGCACCGAGCTAGTCAGTTGAAAGGAAAAAACTAACAAACAAACAAACAACGGAGACCTAGTAAAGTTTAAAGATTGCAGCAAAGAAGTCCCCCAAACTTTAAACTTTGTTTTTAACTCCTTCCAATGACGTGCCAGGCTGTGGAACAGGAGCTGCGGGCCCAGCAGCAGCTAACAAACAGCAGCATGGCCGAAGAAAGGCTGGCTGGGCCGGGGGAAGGCGCAGACCGTTTAAAAGAAGAGAGGGGCTAAGTCCTGCGGCAGGAAGGGGGGGAGGGGCCCTGAACTCGACTGGAGCCCGGACTAAAGGCTTTACACTGGGGGCGAAGCCGACCCAAAGCGGGGTGTACCGCGGGGAGGGGTCCCCACGTCTCTGGTGCAAACCCCGGGGCCGAGGAGCGCTGCGCGCCGCACCCTGGCTCCGCACACGGCCCATCCCCAGGCCGGCGGCTGCGGGCCCCGGTGCGGCGGTCGGGGAGGGTGCCCGGTACCTGTCTGTGCAGCAGCGGCCGGATGCGCCGCAC